TCTTTCTTTCTTCTTCTTCTTCTTCTTCTTCTTCTTCTTCTTCTTCTTCTTCTTCTTCTTCTTCTTTTTGAGACAGGGTTTCTCTGTGTAGTTTTGGTGGTAGTTCTGGATCTTGCTCTGTAGACCAGGCTGGCCTCAAACTCACAGAGGCTTGGCTCTGCCTTCTGAGTGCTGGGATTAAAGGCGTGAGCCACCACTGGCCAGCCCAAAAGCAATTTTTTAATAGAACTTTTTGTATTTCTTGCTAACAATACATAGAGTACATTAATATAAGCTAACATTATCCATACAAAGAACAAGAAAATGCCTTTGCATTTGAGCTGCTCCAGTCCAGCAGTAAAAACTTTATCATATCTCTGACTCATCAGTATATTCCTACAGAAAACGGTTCATGAATCACCACAGTTGATGAAAGTATATATGCATAAGTGAATTCAAAACTGTCCCATTTCTGCAGTCTGAAAAGTTCAAAAAGCAAGTTCTAATACCAGTCTTGACGTTTTCTACTGAAAATTCAAGATCAGGGCCTGGTTCTCCAGCTGCCCTGAAGTCTTTGTGTAGCTGTCCAAGTCATAATGAATCTGAAGTGTAAAGCTCAGATTCTCAAATATGAAGAAACATACAACCAAAAATTTGTTGCACTTCCCTTGAATGCAACAACCCAGTTCAAACAAGAGTCTTTGAAACTTCACTCTCAGCTACAGAGGCACTTTGTGGCCAATAGCCTTCCTCTAGGAAATCTGCCCCAGGGTGAAGGTGGCATCACCCTAGATGAGCCACTGCAGACCTCTTTGAAAAAGCTTTCAATACAGTCAGCATGAACCAGGAAGCTGTCTCTTAAAGGAGCCATGCATTTGTTTGCCGCCAGCAAACAGAAGCTTCACAGCTTTGGCTGCTGACTCCATGAGTTTAGATTTTTGCAGTTCCAGTCTGTCGGGGCCTCCCATCTCTGGCTCACCTGCCTAGAGACCCCAGTGTCCTGAGGCCCAAGGTCTCTCATTCCCCTCACACCACAGGGGCTCAAGGTACCTTCCTGCTGCTATGAACTGTGGCTCTCATTCAGCACCCTGGGTCTTGGAGGAAACCCAGTCATGGCCAGTAGTGGCCCCTGCACCTGGCTCCATTACCTGATCTACCAGTCGACTTGCATCCTCTGTGTACTGCCTTACAGTAGCCCTTAGGGAAGCCCCACAGCTCTGCTTCACTCTGTTGCTGGGAGCCTGGGCTGGCCTGGCTTCCAGCCAGTCTCTGCCATTCAGTCTGGAAACCCCAACACGCTACTGTGTTGCCCAAGTGAGGTGTAGGAACCAATCTCCTGAGTGCTGCAGCTCTTGAGGGGCAGGAACAGCTCTCCCGCTCTCATGACCTCAGCGCCAATTCTCTCACCTGCCACAGGAAGTGTGGGGGAGGATCTCTCCTTCGCCTACACCAACATATGCTATATGAGGGGTGAGACCCGATCTCCCATGCTCACAGTCTCAGGGCCAGCTCACTTATGCTCCTGTCAATAGGGTCAGCTGTATTCTGCTGCCCATGTAAGGTGCAGGGCTTGCTTTCCTGAGTGCTGAGCTGGTGAGGGACAAGATTAGCCCTCTTGCCTGCCACAGGTGATGGGAGGCAAGGAGCAGAAGGCATTTTTTCCTTACCCACATCACCACATGGCAGATGAGGAGGTGGGACCAGGTCTCCCACTCTCACACCCTCAGGGCCAGCTTGCCCATGCCCCACGAATAGGGTCAGCTCTTTTGTGCTGCCCAGGCAAGGCACAGGACCCACTCTCTCAAGTACTACAATGGATGAGGGGCAGGGCCAGTTCTCCCTAGTGTTGCAACCAGTGAGGGGCGGGACCCACATTGTGCAGCCCTATCCTCTTTGTCTTTGGTGGTAAGAGGAGCCAAGGACATCAACACAGACCACTGCTGCTGCAGGGCCACAGATCCATACATGGCCCTTGGCAACAGTTCAGGCCTAGACATCTCAGGTGGCAAGCAAGCCACCCATCTCAGCCCATTCCTCACTGCCTTCACCTCTAGATCTGCCTCTCTCTACAGGATATGAATCATTCTCTTCTCTCTCTCTCTCTCTCTCTCTCTCTCTCTCTCTCTCTCTCTCTCTCTCTCTTTCTCCTCTCTCTCTCCTCCTATACCTTATCATATATTTGCTCACCATAATGGTACCTGACCACCCAGTGCTACAAGGTGCTGGGGAGGCCCACGTTTTCTTCTAAACACCCAGGGGAGGCCTAGGGTCTTCTTCTCCTGTTCAATAATAGTGGCCCCAAGTGTCCTTTTTCTTGCCAAATTGAATGTGTATTTCTTCCCTCCCAATGTGATCATTTTCATTGTAGGGCTACAGAAGCACTATCAGTAATAAGGATTCCACAGACTCGATATTATACTGCCTTAAAGTGTCCTCCACATAAGAAATTACTCTATTACTTTTTAATTCAGCCTCATGTAACCGATCAGGAAATGGTCAGACAACAGCCAGATTCTGTGCTAAAACATCACACAGGAGTGGCGTCTAGCCTAGTTGCTAGCATTATTTGCATCTCAAACCTCATGGACCAAGTCTCCACCACCGCTGTTACTCTCAGCACTTATGTCTCCAAAGCTCCTACTACAATGGTCCTTTACGCTCGGCTTACAGTGCTCAAATACTTTCCTAGTTCAAAGTTCTAAAGTCTTTGACATTCAAAAAAAAAAAAGATTATGTTCTTCATAGCAACATTCCACTCTGGTACCAATTTCTGTATTGATTAATTTGTTGCTGTGATAAAACACCATGACCAAGGCATCCTGGAAAAGGAGACATTTATTTGGGCATACATTTCCTGAGATAGGATCCATAATGGTAGGGAGGCATAGCAGACTCTGAAACAGGAAGCTGGGAGATTTGATTTCAGGATTTCAGCTGCGCAGAGGAAGCAGAGACAGAAACCCAGAAGTGGGGCAAAACTATGAACTTTCAAAGTCCTCCCGCAGAGATGTATTTCTTCCAGCATAACTCCACATTCTAACAGTTCCACAATATCTCAAAACAGAACCACCAAATATGGACCAAGTATTTAAATATGTGAATCTGTGGGGAACATTTCTCATTCAAACAGCCACACATATACACAAAAAGTTAGGAGAACTCTATCAATAATAACTTTAAATGTAATTAGTCTTAACTGCTCAATTAGATGGTGCAGCTTAACTGCATGCATTAAAAAGCAAGATACAATTATCTATTGTGTGTGAAAATACACTTCACTGAAAAACACACTCTTAGACTAATAAGAGTATTGAAGTCAATTTGGCAAATAAACAGACACCTCAAACAAGCTAGCATAGACGTTTAATAGCTGAAAAAGTACACTGTGATGGTATGAATAATGATGGCCCACATAGGTTCATGTACTTGAATATTTTGCTCCCGGTTGGTAGACTAGGAAGGGCTGGCAAGTATGACTTTGTAGGAGGTGTATCACTGGGAGTGGGTTTGAGGTTCCAAAAGCCCAGGCCAGGCCCAGTCTCTGTCTCTCTCTGCCTGCTGCTTGGTAACCAGGATGTAAGCTCTCAGCTACTGCTCTAGCACCATGCCTGCCTGCCTGTTATCACACTCCCCACTGGGATGATCATGGGCCAACCCTTTGAGGCATAAGCAAGCCGCCAATTAAATACCTCCTTTTATAAATTGCCTTGGTCATAGTATCTCTTCACAACAATAGAACAGTAACTAAGACAAATAGTTCAAACCAAAAGGTGACAGAACCAAAGAAAGTGACAGTCTCTTAGTAAATATAACATTCCATCAAGAAGATAGAACAATTGTAAATAATGATTGTAAATGTTGGGCCTTTCAAGTTCATAAACAAAGAAACAATCAAGCAAGTAAGCAGACAAGCAAATACTAATGGACAAAAAAGGACAGGTTAGTCCTGATATAATAATAGAGCTTCACTTCAATTCCCCACTCTTATTTTTCTAATGAAGTGCCTAATACCACTGGGGTGATGGTTCAGTTGTTACAGCACTTGTCTCATGTCTTAGGGTTTCTATCGCTGTGAAGAGACACCATGACCATGGCAACTCTTATAAAGGAAAACATTTAAGTGGGGGCTCATTTATAGTTTCAGAGTTTCAGTCCATTTTTATCATGGCAGGACATGGTGGATTGCAGGCAGATGTGCTGGGGAAGGAGCTGAGAGTTTCACATCTGGATCAGCAGGAAGCAACAGGAGAGACTATGACACTGAGCATGGCTTGAGCAGAGGAGACCTCAAAGCCCATCCCCAGTGACACACTACCTTCAACAAGGCCACACCTACTCCATCAAGGTCATACTTCCTAATAGTGACAATCCTTATGGGCCAAGCATTCAAACACATGATTCTATGGGGCCATACCCATTCAAACCACCACATTCTACTCCCTGGTCCCCAAAGGCTTGTAGCCCTAACATAATGCAAAATATATTTAGTCCAACTTCAAAAGTCCCCATAGTCTATCACGGTCTCAATAATCTTTAAAAGTCTAAAATTCAAAGTCTCTTCTGAGAGTCATGTAATCTCTTAACTGTAATCCTCTATAAAAATCAAAACAAAAAAGCAGCTCACATATTCCCAACATATACAGGATATGCGTTACCCATCCACAATGGGGGAAAGGGAGCATAGTAAGGAAATATTGGACAAAAGCAAAAGCAAAAGTCACTGGACAAACTCCAAACTCTGTGTTTCCTTGTCCGATGTCAAAGTGCACTTCAGATCTCCAACTCCTTTGAGCTTTGTTGACTGCAACACTCTTATTTTTGCTGGGCTGGTTCCACTCCCTTTTAGCAGCTCTCCTTGGCAGGTATCTCATGACTCTGTCATCTTTAACATTTAAGATCTTCAAGGCAATCCAGGCTTCACCTTCACGGTTTCACACAATGGCTTCTCTGGGCCTCCATGCAGGGATATCCCTGCCACACACCTGGCCTCAGTGGCTTTCCTTAGTCATGGAGGGAGATTCCATAATTCCTTTCTTCTGGTCTTGACTCTAAAGCTAGAACTATGTGTGTGGTGATATTTTATTTGTGTATCCCAATAAAGCTTATCTGAAGATCAGAGGAAAAAGCCAGCCATTATATTAAACATAGAAGTCAGGCAATGGTAGCACATGCCTTTAATCCTAGCATTTGAGAGGCAGAGATCCATCCAGATTTCTGTGAGTTAAAGGCCACACTGTGAACAGAGCCAGGAGTGGTGGCACATGCCTTTAACCCCAGAACTAACCATGGAGGTATGGAGGTCTGTACAGACAGACAGGAAGTGATGTAGCTGGGTGGAGAGAGGAAGTAAGAGGCCAGGGACAGAAAAGCACATAGTCGTGGGTATACAGGAAGTAGGTCTCGTATTTGGCTGAGGATTTCTAGTGGTAAGAACATGGCTGGCTTCTTACTATTTCCCTGGTTTCTCAGTTTTTACCCCAATATTTGGTTTGGGGTTTTTTATTAATAAGACCATTTAGCAATTCATCATATACATGTGTCTGAAGCTGTGAAGTAATGCTGCTTTCTGGGGCTGGAACATGTTTACCTTATTCAATTATATCTTCATCAACTTTCTGTTTTCCATGGTTTCCTTCACTGCTTAAGCTTGGCTATCCTGGAACTTGCTCTGTAGACCAGGCTGGTCTTGAACTCAGAGATCTGCCTGCCTCTCTCTCCTGAACCTGGACATAAGCTGTTCTTTAATTCCTTTTCACAAATTGTAAGCTTAGCTGAGTGGATCTTGCTCCAAGGTCTCCACTCCCTTTATTCCATTTAACATCAGGCTTTCCTTTAATCTGTTTATCTCCTTAAACACAGGATTTAGCTCTATTCCACTTTCTTATGCCCCTTTCCTCCTCAAATTGTACATTTTTCCTAGCTTAGTTTGCTCCTTTTCATTATAGATCTTTATTAGAGTAAATGCTAATAACCATATGGCAGAGTTACAACTAGGCTGTTTTGAGATTTCCTATGTCAATGGAATTGATCCAAAACTCTTCACTAGCCTTATGAAGACTTTTTGGACAAGGGCAAAAAGCAGCTACATTCTTTACCAAAATATCACAAGACTGGTCTCTATGCCACATACTAATATTTTTCTCTGCTAAAACCTGTTCAGCCAGGCCCATACAGTTCTAATCACACTTACCACCACTGTCTTCCTTGCTCCTACTAGTATGGCCCATTATGCAGCCCTTAAAGAATTCTGCTGGTTTCCTAACCCAAAGTACCAAAGTCCAAATCCCTTCAAATAAAAACATAGCCCTTTCATAGCAATAGCCCAATTCCTGGTACCAACTTCTATTTTCAGGTTTCTATTGCTGTGAAGAAACACCATGACCATAGCAACTCTTATAAAGGAAAACATTTAATTGGGGCTGCCTTACAGTTTCAGAGGTTTAATCCATTGTCATTGTGGTGGGACATGGTGGCATGAAGGAAGACATGGTACTGGATAAGGAGCTGAGAGTTCTACATCTGGATCCTATGGGCAACAGGAAGTAGTCTGAGATACTGGGTGAGGCTTGATCATTTATGAGACCTCAAACCATGTCCCCCAGTGACACACTTCCTCCAGCAAGGCCACACCTCCTATTACTGCCATTCCCTATGGGCCAAGCATTCAACCACATGAGTCTATGGGGGGTCCATATCTATTTAAACCACCATATCTTGTAAAATGCAAGGAGGACCCATGTTTGGTAACTAGAACTCACTTAAAAATACTAGGTATGATAGATTGTACTTGTAATCCTAAAACTTGGGATGCGGAAATAGGAATGTTTCTGGGGCTCACTGGCCAGTCAATTTATCCTAATTAATGATTTCCAGGCCAATAAGAAACCCTTCCTCAAAAAAGAAGGCTGACAACATTGATAAGGATGACACCCAAGGTTGTCCTCTGGTCTGCATGTGTATGCACAGGTACACTCACCAAGTGATGAATACATAGACACACACGTGCATGAATATAGCCACATGTATCATCAAAGCAAAACAACAACAAAACAAAGCAAGAATGCATGTAAGAAGGAAGGCAGTGTGTATTTTAGCTCACAGTTTGAGGTTAGAGTTCATCATGGTTAGGAAGGTATGGCAGCGGGAAGCTGAAACAGCTGGTCACATTACATCCAGAGTCAGGGTGAAGAGAGCAATACATACTGATGCTCATCTCTCTTTCTTTTCCTTTTTATTCTGGCAGGGACTTCAGCCTATGGAATGATTCCCGCAATTTGGGTGGATCTTCTCATCTCAGTTTACGTAATCTAGAAAATCTCCCTTAGAGGTGTGTTTCCATCGTTGTTCTAAATCCTGCCAAACTGACAATAAAGATTAGCCATCAAGAACTACAGCCTTAGCTGTGGCCTCCAGCTGGACAAGGATGACTTGTACCATGCTGTCACCATGTAGCCTTCACACAGTGTTTCCTCTTCCTGCATTTAGACAAATGTCTAGTGATGATATTGAGGTTGGCACATTCCTGCTCAGTACTAGTACTTAGCATTTTAAGACACAGTGGGGCATTCATAGCTCACTCTACTGTTTTCTCACATGGATTGTAACAAGGTATCCACTCACTAATCCAGAGAAGATACAACTGAGACCTACATGTGACAGAGATTCAAGTGCACTGTATAGGCTGTGGAAAGTCCATCTAGCCACAGTCCGTTTGGTCTACATCTGCTGCTTCCTGCTGTCTCTGTCACGTGATGTAGTTTCTTGTAAGACCCTCCAAGTTTTAAGACTCCACACGGCAGTCATATGAAAGTAAGTCAGCTGTTTATTTCTATTACTCTCTGTCACCAGGGGCTTTCTAACAAGAACTAAGGCTGGTATTCATTTTAATATTACTCAAGGCTAATAAAGAGGAACTGCATTAACAAGAATAGAGACATGTAAAATACCAATTGTCCTGAATGGCTGTGTGTGTGTGTATTGGGGTGCTAAACTCCTCAGTGAATTTAATGTAATTAATGCAGAGCTATGTCCTTAGGAAAGTTTTGCTTTCAGGATATTTTCTTAATTTATTCTGTCTCTATATGTTAGATCAAATTCCTTATGCAGTAACAGAGCCAATTTTCCAAGTAGGAATTATCAATTGTTGTGATAGATGGAGAGATTAGCCCTGTAATCAAAAGTGGATATTTTGGCCAATGCTATTTTCTTTTCCAAACCAACCCAGTGAAGGAACAACTCAAAAATAACCATAACCAAGTTAGATGAGGACCATTTCTAAATTCACCATTTTTATAATCCATTGGTCAAAGTCTTCATTCAGTGGTAACATCTTCAAAAAGAAAGGTCTAATTCTATAATGAATGTAGCCCCCCCTTCTCTTCACAGCAGCTTAAAATATGAAAAGAAAATGATTAGTAATGGATTGGAGGCTAAGGATCACTCAGGAGAAGAGAATGTGAAATGGAAGTTGTCGTAGTTCAAATGCAGCCACTTTGCCGCAGCCCGTGCTCTCCCTTCATCCCTAGGGTACAACAGGAACTAGCACTGAACAGCACTGCCTGTTCAAGGAGCTCACTTTCATGCAGCCCCTGCGAGCGTCAGCAGGGAAAGCTCTCTATTGCGTTTCCTGCTCTCTAGCCTATTAACTGGGTGACTTGGGGCAAGGCACTGAGTCTTTAAGCTTCTCTCTTCCAAGTTTGAAAACAGGCACCGTGTTGTTGGACACAGAGGTAATATGTATAGAATGCCTATATGGTGGGTGTGGTGGTGTATACCTGCGTTAACATCACTCCATAGGCAGCTATAGGAGGATCTTGAGCTCAAAATCAGACTTGGCCACATGGCAAGATCTTGTTCTTTAAAACTAAGAACCACTCTAGGCAATTATAATTATGGTGTTGTAGCTCTAACACTCTAATATTTATCATGTTAGATAAGAAATCCTTATGCTTTGTTCTTAAAAATACATGTTTTTACATGGAACTCAAGGGTTAAGAACAACTGTTAGTTCAGGCAATATTTGCATTCATTTGTTAAAGGGAATGATGCCTTCGGTGAAACTGATGGTGAACATATTTCACAATCTTTCGCAAAGGGATTTTCCTTTGAGGATATGATCTGCAAATGTTTGTTACAATATGACTCTTCATTAATAATAGAAATGGAGGATCCAGGAGGGGCTAAGTCTGACAGTCTGTTTTTACAGATTTTAGTCTTTGAACTCTAGACCACTGATATATTTTTTATAGTAATATGTGGATGAATAAAGTTATAACTAGCAATATTTTAATAGCTTCAAACAATATAAATGGATGTGGGAAAGAAGCTAACTTGACCTTTGGATCTTTATAGTGAATGATAGCTAAGAAATTTACTCATTTTTTTTCAAATGTTCTGAGTTAGTTAATAAATATTATAAAAATATATTTTACTTTTTCCACAATCAAAGTGTCTGCATAGTGCGATTACTCATCATTTTATTCTTCTGAATTCCTTTAGATGTCCACAAACTCCTTTCTAGAATATATTTTCATTACAGCAGTGAGTACTTTTGAATTGTCCTTTGGGACAGTGACTGTTTTCAGGATTCTGGGCACAGCCTGTTCTCAGTGATGATAGATATTATATTTTAAAGAGGTCCCTTTTCTATTGGGTCAATTTTAACTGAAATTTGGGGAAATGACTTTATAGTTATGTGATTCGTAAACACAGATGTTCTTAACTTTGCTGATCTTATGTAACAAAGGGAAATTTTGTTGCAACACTAAACACCAACTATTCATGAGTGTTTTGCAAAGTAATATGCTCCAAATTGCACGTCTTATGGATGAGCTGATCAACATATTTGTAGGCTAATGTTGTATGTACTTCATAAGCTTGCACCAACACCTGCCAGCTGGCTCCTTCTTTGCACATAACACTTCTGAAGTCTCCAAGATTCTCATAAATAAGTCAGGTTTGGCAGTGTGCATCTGCATCATCAACTCTGGGACCATGAAGGGAGTTGGATCCCTGAACCTATTCCAGTGAGCCTAATCCAAATCAATCAGCTCCAGGTTCAGTAAGAGACCCTGTCTCCAAAAGTAAAGGTGGAGATTGATCAACCAAAGAAGCAGACATCTACCTTTGGCCTCCACTACATTCTTGCACATATGTGCATTGACAATCACACACATATGTGAATAAACCCACATGAACAAACAGTAATACACCATACAACACACACACACACACACACACACACACACACACACACACACACACACACACACACACACACAGAATAGAACTTATAATTTAAATCATGTTTGTCCATTGTCTAAAACCTTCTGTTGCTTTCTACCTTATAATACAGTTCATGGTCTATGTAGGACCTGGCTCATCCTCTGTTTATGCATCCTCATCCCTGACAGCCTCATGCTGTCTCAGTCTAAATGGCTTTAATATTATTCTTTAAACATAAGAACATTTTTGCCTCATGGCCTTTGCCCATGCTGTGCCCATTCAAGCTTGGAAAGTTATTCCGAGTATCTACACGGTTTTCACCTCTCGATTTAATTTTCAAATTCATCCCATCCCCTTCCACACAACACTTTGCTGACTACCGCTTCTATCCATCACAGCAGAGAATGTATGTATTCTGTTCATTGACTGCCTCTCCAATGCTCAGAAGATAAAAGGGGATTGAGTACATGACAAAGAATTTAGCACTTTATGAGCAATGTACTTCATAATGGACATACTCTCAGTTGTTTGTGAAACAGAGCTACAGGTGGAGAACTCAAAGAGTCATTGGTACAGGCTTTGGCATTGTAAATCACCTGTTACTAAATAGATGGTTGTTTCTCATTGTAAAATAAGACCGTTTACTAAGCGATCAGGAATTTAGAGAAGAATAGAATACATTTCTATCCTTGAATAGTGGTGACACACTCAACTTCGTTATAGAGTTCATAGAAACTGCTTTTTCATTTTGCACATGAAGAAGTAAGTTTTGAGTGTTTCAGTGTCTTGTAGACTGTGATTCCAGAGTAGTCAAAGGCGGGTCTTATCTCTGCTGGTAACCAGTTGGCATTTCTTTGGATAAGCAAATGCCCAGCTGTGTCTGTTTTGAATTCTGTTAGGCTGCTGTTCCCCACTGCAGAGAGAAGACAGCCATGCATCAAGGAGAGCAAGTGAACAGCGAGTACTTTTATCAAATGTCACACTGCTTTTGAGAAGGTAACAATTACAATCCTATCCCTTGAGCCTGTCAGAATTGGCATTGGCTCTAGATCTTAATAAATGTTTTATTTTTTCATTGATGCTGTAAGCCCAACACAGCTTGTGCGGCATGGGTTTTTCATCAGAGTCACCTGGTGCCTTGGTTAATGAAACCTTCTTTTGGGTGTCTGCACTGGCGATAACCAAGGGTTCAGCACAGTAGGCCTATGAAGCCAGACACTGTCAAGGAAATGGCTCAAACCCTCTACTGTATTGATCAGAACTAGTCCCATGATTACTTGGACATCAGGTGAATTAGAAATTTGTATAAGTGAGTATCAGTGAAAACTGTAGTATTTAAACGATCAATATATCCACTCCTTGACAGACATAAAAACAATCAATGACAGGTCTATTAACTAGTTAGTGCTTCTCTGTCCCTCCCTCCCTCCCTCCCTCCCTCCCTCCCTTCCTCCCTTCCCTCCCTCTGTCTTTCCTTCCTTTCTCCCTCACCCCATCTCCTTTCTTTTCCTTCTCTCCTCTTCCACCCACTCTTCTTCATTTTATCCTTATTATTCCCTACCTTTGCCTCTTCCTCATTTGGAGAGAGAATTCACCTTTCTTGCATGACCTTTTGTGGGGAAACCTGTGTTCTTCATTTGGTTTCCCTGGTTGACTTCTGCATAAGGGGTCAGTCAAATCTAGGGGCCTCAGATCCAAGTTATGATGACTTCTAGCTTTCACCTCATAGTGGCAATGCTGTATTCTCACTGCACATTGAAATATGTGCTTGTCACTCAGTTTTCATGTTTATTATCTCTAACTTCTGTTTGTATATCTGCTATGTTAATAAAATAATAGTTTATAAAAGAAGAAAGAAAGAAGTGGGCTGTTTTTTTTTCAGTTACCATCTATTTAAAACATGGTTTGTTAAATGTTCTCCTTCTTTTTAATGTAGTTGTGGATATGAGAAATGAATGTAATACTGAAAGAAGGAACTAAATTGTGGTTTATAAAGCTTGGCTTTATTTAGAAGTGCAAGTAGACAGAAGGAGTGTGAACAGAGCAGATGGAGAGCTTGACTCTCACAGATAATAGTCCTGAGTCACCATCAAAGGTAATTTTTCTTTTGAATCATTAGGATTTTAAAGTATAAAATTATTCATAATTAT